AATCTCGATCGGCCTAGACAACTCTGAAGTCTATCAGGTTGTCTCCGCCTAACAGGTATTGTCTCCAGAGTTGCTGGATGCTTTATGTCGTGGCTGGCTGTTCCTACTAGAGGATGTCTGTGTTTTGTAGGCCTTGGTCTCATGGAGAATGGCATCCTTTCGTTCTGCTCTTGCAATTATTACTGCAATATCATCATCATCTTCCACGAGTGGTTCTACTTCTCGCCGGAGGGTAGAGTGCATGGTGTCGTAGAATCGTCGCTTCAGGATGTATTTGGAGATACTTCCTCTCTCCATTCGGTCCTTATACATTATTAGGTCCGTAGCCATATCAGTGATTCGCTTGACATGCGTTCCGTTAACTTGCTGGAACTGGTTGAATTTGTTGTATAGGAGGTCGTTGGTTATAGAGGATTGGAATCGTCCTTTCAGGTAATCGAGAACTGTAGATCCTCTTAATCTTATATTCCCGCCGAAGTCCTTATAGCATTGGTGGTATGCGTCAGTTGCCTTTCCTTCACAGAATGATCCAATGATAAGTCCGGTTGTAGGGTCTTCCACGTCTTTTCCTTGTAAGAGTAGGAAGTGTGAGAGTTCTGTTGCCCATCGTTCAAAGGCTTCAGGTTTGAGGTCTTTTCCTTCTCCTGTGAACTTTGCTGGGAGGTGGAGTTTGAACTTAGGGGGTTCAAATGCTGTGGGTACCTCCTCTTCTTCAGGCCTTGCCCGAGATTTCCCTCCTCCAGAAGGCCCTCCTCCTGTGCTAGCCATATCTGATTCGCTACTAGATTCGGGGTCGTTTGGAGGTTCAAAGGAAGGCTTCTTTGCTGGGGTAGCAGGGAATTCTCCTGGAGGTTGTGTATCTTCCGTGTTTGCAGGGTCGCCCGACTCTTTAGCAGAGCGCCGGGGTTGTTTCTTTCTTGTAAGGTCTTGCCGTGGGATTTTCTTCCCACTCCTGGTCGTCAAAGACTCTATCTTGGGATTGAGATGAAGCCAAATGTGCTGTGATTCTGCCGCTTCTCTCCGCTAGCATTCTGAGGTGGATATCGATAGGTTGATCAGGCCTAAATCCGGGGACAGGTTCTTAACCACTTGCTGAGGTTAAAAAAATGTAACGTGTTCGCAAGGTGCTAATCACGTTATCGGTAATAGATACGATAGTTGGCAGGTGGCTTGCTCTTCCAGAGAGAAGGCGAGAGCTGAGAACTAAAGGAGGCTTCGAGGGTGTACTGGGGAACAAAGAAGTAACCGTTCAACTAAGTATATTGAAATACTGTCTGTCGAAGTCTGCCCTTTCTATCGTAGAAACAGGCGGTCTTTAAATACACAAATCTGTTCATGTCTTAACATGAACGAAACTAATCAAAGGTATCAATCGATACACTTCGGTAAAATTCTTTAAGTGTCAAAGCGACACTTGAAACAAAACATAAAACAAAACCAAGTCTCAAACGATACTTAAAACAAACCAAGTGTCAAAGCGATACTTAAAACAAAACAAGTATCAAAGCGATACTTATAACAAAACATAAAACAAAACCAAGTATCAAACGATACTTAAAACAAACCAAGTATCAAAGCGATACTTAAAACAAAACAAGTATCAAAGCGATACTTAAAACAAACCAAGTATCAAAGCGATACTTAAAACAAAACATAAAACAAAACCAATAACCGAGTACCCGTACCGGTTACAACTATAATGCCACAAAATTGAAGGTATAAGAATAACACTATATACGTCACTGCCCATCTGTTTAACCAGATCTAGTTTGCAAGATATATGAGAGGGGACCTTCAGCAAGGTCTGGAAAGTAGAATGTAGTGAATTTGTCAACTACTCAGAGGATTACTAGGCTGCAAAGATGTGACATCTTTGGTATGGGCCATAAGTAACAGGACATTTTCACACTAAGATATGGTATCGAATAGTAAAGGATTTCAACAAGAAACCAATACATTCACACCTACCGGACGATAACCAAAAAAGTCTGGAACTCAGAGAAACACTACTATAGAAGCTAATAGACTTCAAGGAATGTTGCAACTGGGTTCAGAAATGTGCTGACATGGCAGGAATAGTTCCCAATACTAGAATGGCGGATAAAATCCTGTTACCTGAAACAACTAAGGGTTGCTGACCGAGGAATTATCTCTCAATCCAGTAGAATAGCTTCCTGTAAATTAGTAGGAAGTCCTCCAGAAGATATCTGTCAGTTGGATATAGAGTTATAAAGGTTTAAAGTCAGGCAATCTAGGAAGATTGTAATTACAACTACTTCTGCAGATACAACCCACAGATGAAACTGATCATTTCATTAATGACAGACAATTGGGGCCAACTCAGTTCAACTTGAGAACTAAGCTATAAGTCTAAAGACTCTGATGATCAGATAACTACTATTAGAAACAGCATGGTTCCTAATTAGTAATATCATAATTACCAAAGATGGTGTAGTGATTTTCAGAGTCTCCAGGTGTTTGCACCTTAAATAATACTCGACATTGTAAGTTATAATCAGAGAGGTACATAGTTGTGTAATTGATAGATGTAGTCCACAAACACTCAGATGTGGAATATATATATTAAAGTACCTCGCAAGCTTTTAGATATCATCAAGCAACGGAGAAGAGATTTTAACAATATAATATTGTCTTCACGATTCTATTCTACTTTACCTACTTTACTTTGCTCCTAGTAGTCATAAATGAAACTAGTAAAATCTGAGTCCTTTAAGACAATCTCCATCTACAGAAAAGAATTTTGGTTGGCCTAGACAACTCTGAAGTCTATCAGGTTGTCTCCGCCTAGTAGTAACTAGGCTCCAAATACCCTTACACCCGAGTACAATACTGGTACTGGTACTCTGACAAATTTGAGTCATCCACATGTACTTTTTATACTAAAAGTGGCCATTCACAACCATGTAGCAGTTCTAGGTCCACATCAATTGATTGTGTATCAGCTCTGGATACCAGAGAGTGGTGCAGATTTTACAATAACTGTAGCTGGTATGGGTACTCAGTTAATAATTTTATTTTATCTTTTGTTTTAAGTATCGCTTTGATACTTGATTTATTTTAAGTATCATTCGATACTTAGTTTTGTTTTATGTTTTGTTTTAAGTATTGCTTTGATACTTGGTTTGTTTTAAGTATCATTTGATACTCATTTTTTTCTTATGTTTTGTTTTAAGTATCACTTTAATACTTAGTTTGTTTTAAGTATCATTTTATACTTAGTTTTGTTTTATGTTTTGTTTTAAGTATCGTTCTGATACTCAAGTTATTTTACTAAAGTATATCATTTAATATCTTTAAATAGTTTCCTTCATGCTAGACATGAACAGATTTGTGTATTTAAAGACTGCCTGATTCCGTGATGGAAACACCAGACTTCAACAGACAGTATTTCAATATACTTGGTTGAACAGTTACTCCTTTGTTTCTCCATACACCCTCAAAGACTCCTTTAGTTCTCAGCTCTCACCTTCTCTCTGGTAGAGCAGGCCACTTGCCAACTATTGTACCTATTACCGAAAACGTGAATAGTACCTTGCAAATATGTTATAATATCTACATCTTAGCTAAATTAGAGTTATCTTGAATTGTTGTAAAAATCACAATTATCTTAATGTACCTTTTTCTATGGACTCTTATATAAGTTCCAAGACTTGGCATGAATCTTTTGATAGCTGAAGCTTCTCTCCCCTGAACATGAGATAATTCACAATTAATTGTAGATAAAGAGAAATTTGTGAAGCATGAATCTTACTTGCTCACTTGACAATGGCTCAGCATGATATATAGTTAACAACTACAGCTCAACCCGTCTCCATCGTTCGAGCTCAAATGATTTCTCTCTCTAAATTCACACTGACCTCTACCACTTTTCAACAAATCAGCCCTGGCTGCCTTTTCCAAATCCAAATCCGCCACAACTGCCACGATAATAATGTCAAGGAAACCAATCACATTGACTGCTGCCACCCTGGTAATACCACCATTATCCCTCTGTCTTATCACAATAGGCATTTATCGGAGTAATTATCTGTCAAAGATAAATTTCCCCCATTTTGGGAGAGCTAAATCTTAGAACTACAATCTGATTTACTCTTTGTTGTTTCCTCCACTTGTCTTGTTCATCTGCCTTCTGGAGACCCAACCTGCAGAGCAAGAGCCACCAGGTGGTGTAAAGTTAATATCACCTTCCATCACACCCATCCCCCAACTGTCAAAGAACCATTCATAACTACCAACATGGAAATTGCTATAGTAGCCGCTCCGGCGACTCCATCTAACAAGTGCACCTGGTTCTAGTACATTCCAACAAGGGGAGGCATCATGTGGGAGTTCTGGTAGGGTGTATGAGGAGGATTCTCATGGGGTGCGGTCTTGCCGCAGCAAATACGGAGTATAGGAGGTATTCTGGAGAAAGGGGAGGGCTGATCTTGAGGAAAAGGTAGTCTAGCTACGAAATAAATGTGATTAACCAAGACTAAATTTTATGGAACTTTTCGACCCAAGCTTAGAGTGCGATAAGGAATTTGCACCAACCTAGTTGAGGGCGTCTTGCCCCTGCTGATAGGTGATAGCAGAAGGTATAGAGATTCAAAATAGATTCTTGATATTAGATGAGATGGAGCTCTTGGGTTTCTCCCGTCATAATTCACCAAACAGAGTTTATTTCCTAATCTGCCTTCATACTATAAACAGCCTTTGAATACAACGGCCGAATATTCTATTCTCCAAATACGTCCATAGTCTAGCCCATAGTAAACTCTCCATGGGATAGAGGCCACGGATTCGTGAAAGCGCACCTTGACACCTTCTCTCCCCTTCCTAAACACTCTCTGCTGGTAGAGCTCCCGCCAAAAACACACAATCCCTCGGCTCCTCCGGTAGACTAAAATCCAGCTTACTCATCAGGAACATAGCGGGGCTTGCCAAGTCTCCAGAACTCTGTCCCTCCATCCGCATATCATACCAATCTCAATCCCATAAAATAATCCACGTCTTCCACACACCCCTTCAACCCTAACAAACTCACAAAAATCAACTATCATGACCTATTCTCCATCAGCCAAATACAGAGGCGTAAGTATCCCTGCCCCCCCCCATAAATGTCCAAACTAATAGCCACCCCAGGCGACAGTGGAAGACCTCGACCTCCCTCCGGCGCTGAGCATCTCCCCCTCGGCCCCCATCTCGACGGCACTAGCAATGGCCCACGATCGCGATTACTCACAACTCACTGTGACATCCTCCACTACCCGCGCTCTCCTCGGCTACCTCTCTGTCCCCAAGATCGAATCGCTGTTACAATCATCCTCCCCCGGAAGTAATATTAGACTCTCCGACCCCGTCAGCAAAGTCATGAACAGGTTCGATCGCAAGAAGGGGAACGTGTATAAGGTTATTACGCCAAACACTACATTAGAGGAACTCGAAGAGTTCCTGAAGAAGGAGGAGTTTGCTGTTATTACCGATGAAGGGAGGAAGTTCGTTCTGGGGGTTGCAACCAGGGGTGATCTGGAGGAGTTTACAAAGAGGAGGCCTGCCTAGTTTATTCCTATAGGGTGGGAATGTGAATCCGGATATCGCGGTTTGCTGGGGTTTCCTGGGTTGCTGGAAGCTGGCTGGTTTACCTGTTAAAACAAGGCTTGTCTTTATCGGTATCATTTTTTCATCTTTACTCTTCGTTACTCTTTCTGCTTGTGACTTCCTCCCTCTCGAGGTGTTTTGTATGTATTTTGGCGATAACTTTGCCGCTACGGCGGTAGGTGTCTAGTTCTGAAGAACGTTTCACAACCTTTATGGTTCGTGCCCCAATGAATACTATCATACCCATAACTGTAACAGCGAAGCGCCCTCTATATTATTCCCATACTCAAGCATTCTCGGAGTGACCCCTAGCCCTGTGAAAGCTCAATTGGAACCATACCCCAACTGCACTGAGGGTGCCCACAAATTGATTGCTTCTCCAAACGCCCTGATTTGGTCCGAACTATGATAGCAAAAAAGATGAAAAAGGAACTCCTGAGCTAATGTAGCATGAATCACTTAAAGTTAATTTAATTTGCCCATTGATCAATATTCTCAAGTTACCCCTACCCCTTACTTTTTAGGAACTACTTCTGAATACTCTATCAACATATTTTCTTCAATCATTCCGCCAATCTAAACTCTTCATCCCCAGAATCGGATCACATCCTACAGGCGAAATGTTCGGGGAATATACCGGTAACGTAGTTTATCAATCACTTGAGCACAGTAAGCCTGATGGATGCAGTAGACAAGAGGATGCCGGTAGCCGCATTACTATACTCGTACAGTACAGTACAGTCGCAATTAACTTCTGCAGTTCAAATAAAACAGAAGCAGTGACGTCATCCCCCCACTTACTCGAGTAGAGCACTCAAGTAACTTACGTGTACAGGATAAACCTAGTACTTAATTTATCTGCCGACCCCAATTTTTTCCCCCCCTTCTCTTCTCTTCCGTTCATCAATTCCCAAGGTTTTCTTGTCCAACTATTTCCGATATGTCTGGAATAGCTACACCTACATGCGCCAACTCCTCAGTAGTCTTCCCCCCGACACCGTTCTCCGTCACGGTTCTCCAGAAGAAGGCACGGCCGGCCCAAGCTTCGGCCGCATCGCTATACCCATATTCATCCATCTCAGAAGAGGCTAAGAAGCTAGGGAAAAAAGCCCAGGCAGAGTTTCCATATGCCTCGGAAGTAACACAAGGGAAGGCGGGGAAAATAGACATGTATTCCCCAAAGTTCTATGCAGCTTGTACCACCGGCGGAATCCTAGCATGTGTATACCTCCCCCCACTCTCCCCCTCTTCCAACAAATAGCACCACAAGCGGAGCTAATATACCCCAGGGCCTTACACACACCGCTGTCACCCCCCTTGACCTGGTAAAATGCCGCCGACAGGTAGACTCAAAGCTTTACCGCTCAAACATCCAAGCCTGGCGCACAATCTCGAGGGCAGAGGGCATCCGCGGCATCTTCACGGGCTGGTCGCCGACGTTCTTTGGCTACTGCGCTCAGGGAGGTCTGAAGTACGGTGGCTACGAGTTCTTCAAGAAATTCTACTCGGACCTTGCGGGGCCGGAGAAGGCGGCGAAGTATAAGACGGCGATTTACCTGGCTGGATCGGCGAGTGCAGAGTTCATTGCCGATGTCGCGTTATGCCCGCTCGAGTCCGTTAAGGTTAGGACGCAGACTACGATTCCGCCGGAATTTAAGGGCACCACAGAGGGGCTGAAGAGCGTTGTTGCGAAAGAGGGGTTTGGGGGGTTATATAAGGGGCTGTACCCCTTGTGGGGGAGGCAGATTCCTTGTGGGTCCCTCTTGTCCTGGGGGTGGTGGGAATAGGGTGCTGACCGTACAGTAGATACCATGATGAAGTTTGCGTCTTTTGAAACGGTGGTGGAAATGATTTATGACTACCTTCCTAAGAGTAAAGATCAATATGGAAGTGGGGTTCAGACGACGGTGTCGTTTGCGGGGGGCTATATCGCTGGTATCCTCTGCGCAATTGTAACCACATCCCATCCCCCTACTTATCCCCAATCATATACTAACTCCACGAAGGTCTCCCATCCCGCAGATGTAATGGTCTCAAAACTCAACGCAAACCGCCGGCCCGGCGAAGCTTTCGGTGCTGTTATGAAGAGAATCTATGGGGAGATCGGATTCGGAGGACTCTGGAACGGCTTGCCAGTCAGAATCGTCATGATCGGTACCTTGACTGGGCTACAATGGCTATTGTACGACAGTTTCAAGTTGGCTGTTGGGTTACCAACCACTGGTGGTTCAGCCCTTGAGAAAGGGGAAAAATAGGTATCATTGTTAAGAGGAAGAGCTATCATACTGCAATACGAACGGATGGTTTGAAAGTGTTTATAGATGATTGATTGATCAATGGCACAAAAGCCCTGTCCCTACTTTTACCCCCTATGAGAAAAAAAAGAGTCCCACGCACCGTCACTCGCGCTATCGAGTGATTCCAGATGACCAAAAACTTAGCGAACAGCCGTGATCGGCGCAGGGAATTTACGGGACTGTAACAAACCATGCATCCATTCTTCGTAATTTACACGAGGTACCCCGCGACGATTCCGGGGTAGACATCTTATAGATACTCTACCGGTATGATAGGAGATTATGGGAATGGGAAAAACGTGAGTGGAATGCCCATGCATCATTCCGATCCAGCGAATTGGGCACACGTCAAAATCAAGCAGTGTTCGCTCGATGGTTGAGGCTGAGGTTCATTCCCTCGGTTCGGGCACTAAATCCACGCAGCACGAGCCTATCATTTTTCTCCGCCATTGCCGCTCTCCCCTTCCCGACTCAGACAGAATTCCCCTTTGGCGGTTGGCCACAGCAAGGATAGAGTCTTGGCGAGTCATTTTGGGTGGGGAAAATAAAGCTTGGTGCCATCTCGTTCCCGTAGCAACACATGTCTTTTCTAATAATAGCAGGCATTCTCACTCAACAACCCCTTTACCCAGACGTGTGTTCCTCTACTTGTATGGGCAAGGATTTTCTCAATGGAGATGGGTGGTTAGGACCAAATCAAGATTTTCTCTCCTCCACTTGTACCGATACTCCCCCTCCCCTTCCTTTTTCCCCAACCCTTCGTTCGAATCCCCTTCCTCCTCAGTTGTTTGTTCCCTTCCATTCTCGTTCGTTGCCTCTCGCTATCCATCTCACCCACTCTCACTCGTTCTCTTTTCTTGTTTGGTTCTTTTTTGCCCCTGTTTGTTTGCTTGCTTCCCTGCTTGCCTGCCGCATTCACCCCTCACCCCCTGTTGCTGGCTTGTACTCCCTCACCCATACCCCCTCCCGCCTCGAAACCTTCCCCTAATTTACCCATCGTCACCTGGTATTGTTTTTCTTGCTCCCTCCGCCTACCGGTGATGATCATACCTGTTTCTCAGTTACGGCTGTAGGGGCTTTCCATCGTTGTACTTGTATTAAATTATTTTTTTTTGCCCTCTCCGCCATCACCGCCTCTCACTATCTTCCTTTGCTCCCGACAACGCAGGGTTGTAACGGTCGTTGCTAGCGTGTCTTTGTTCGTTTGTTTGGACTTGGTGGTTAAGGGGGCATAGTGAGGTGGAAGCTTTCGCTACCGATAACTACAATCTTTGACGGTGACAACGGGTTACCGGAGTTCATTCATTTGTTTGTGCCTTGCAACTGGCTGAGAGACCTGGGATTGGAGGACTTCCCTGAGTCTTGAGTTTTGTTGTGAGTTGCCTCCTCAACCAACTGATTAGCGATAGCTTCTTCTTTTTAATTACCTGTGGTGGGATTTAGCAGCCGTACTAATTTCTCTACTATCCGGTTAGATCCTCTTCGGCACCCTACCATGTCGCTGCCTCAGCGACCCGAGCCAACATCGCCCGGGCATAGGGGCTCCGGGCGGCATCATCGGCTGAACGATGTGGAGACTGGACCCGCATATTATGTCGACGAGCAGCAGTACAGTGGTCCTCCAACGAGAAGACCAACATTGCCGACGGATGGTGGACCTCAAGCTGGTGGGATGCCAGGGCCTGCTGACCCTTATACACCCACAGGCACTCCCGGTCCCGAATTTGGACGAAGAAGGAGTCTGATTAGACCGGAGCGAAATAGAATTGATAGGGACCATCCAAATTACTACTACCGACAGCATGCGCAGCGACAGAATATGAATGTACTTCCTTCCACAACGGGCAACGATCCCATAGTCGAAGACCGTACGGAGGCCTCGTCGCATGCCTCAACAGATTCAACCGATCTCAAGAGTTTGACTCGGCCAACTCAGTCAAATCCTAGGTACTCGGAGGACGGAATGGAAGCGGTGGCCAGAAGGCATAGCTCGAGGAAATTGACCAGGGCGCATTCGAAGAGGCATTCATTGAACGAGAAGGAAAAGCTGAAGAAACAGGATGATGCTGTTCGCCCGCCTTCTCTGTGGAACGTTTACTGCGCAATCATCACCTTCTGGTGTCCAGGTGCACTTTTGAAGTGCTTCGGTAAGCCTGCCAAAGCGCAACAACGAGCGTGGAGAGAGAAAATGGGTCTCATCAGTATCATTCTTCTCATTTGCGCGTTCGTCGGCTTCCTTACCTTCGGTTTTACACAATCGGTTTGCGGAGATCCTATTCAACGCTTAAAGGTCAATCAGGTTGGCACTGGATACTTGATCATGCACGGACGAGCCTACGATCTCACAGGGTCCAAACATCCAGCTACTGTTGATTTCCCCGTTAATAGCAACGTTCTATACGATCTTCCCGAGAAGAACGGCGGGAAGGATGCATCATTCTTGTTTCAGAACGTCAATGGCCAGTGCAAGGGGTTGATCACTCCTTCCGAAAAATCGACGATACCCACCGATTCCAGCGGTGGAATGGCTTGGTATTTCCCTTGCAGGGTTTTCAATCAGGATGGGTCCACAAAGCCGAACTTGAACATGACCGATCAGAAATATCTCGGGTACGCCTGCCACACCAGCGGTGCCGCAAGACAAGATTTTTACAGGCTCAAAGGTGCCACCGAAGTTTACTTCTCATGGAACGACATCAAAAACAGCTCTAGAAACCTTCTGGTCTATTCGAGTAGTGTGTTGGATCTTGACCTTCTCAATTGGTTGGATAGCAATCAAGTGAAATATCCGTCTCGGTTTGATGAGTTCCGCCAAGATCCCAAGTTTCGCGGGACCGACGTTACCCATCTTTTCCAAGGTTCTACTGAGAAGAAGCTCGTGAAGTGTTTGTCGGAAATCATTCGCGTTGGCAGTATTGACACTGAAACCGTCGGTTGTATTGCCTCCAAAGTTGTTCTCTACGTGTCTTTGGTCTTTATCGTCAGCATTGTTCTCATCAAGTTCTTGCTCGCCTTGTTCTTCGGATGGTTTTTGAGCTGGAGATTGGGAGCCACTAGGGCTAGTGATATCAGGAAGGACATGAAGAGACGGAGGAACGAGATTGAAGATTGGTCAGATGATATCTACCGCCCACCTCCAAAGCTAAAGGATGCAAATGCCCCCGTTGGAGACCGTTCTTCTAAGAGAGGAAGTTTCCTGCCAACCACCAGTAGATTTACCAGTCCTTATGCTCAGGAAAGACCTCAAAGCCGTCACAGGCCTCTCCCTACTACTATGGGCTCCCAGAGTTCTACTGCGAGGTTACTACCACCTGGGCAAGCCATGTACCAACAAGTCGGTCAAAACGGATCTAGAGGAAGCTTGGGTGGAATGATGACCGAATCGATGTCAGGATCGAACCTTCTGGGTCCTAGCCATGGTGGTCAGCCTGGTGAACGACTCAGTGTTTACTCTGAAGTCGACGGACCCGGACCCGCTGGATTCATTCACGAAGCTGTTGTACCTCAGCCACCACCTGAATATCAGCCATTCGGATTTCCGCTTGCCCATGCCTTGTGTCTTATCACTTGTTACTCCGAGGGTGAGCAAGGGGTTAGGACTACATTGGACTCAATCGCGACTACTGATTACCCCAATAGTCACAAGCTCATGTTGATTGTTTGCGACGGTATGATCAAGGGGCATGGCGAAACTATGACCACCCCGGAAATTATCTTGTCCATGATGAAGGATCACGCTGTTCACCCTGACGCCGTTCAAGGGTTCTCGTACGTTGCTGTTGCATCTGGCGCTAAGCGCCACAACATGGCTAAGGTCCATGCCGGTTTCTATGACTATGGGAGGAATTCCCAAATCCCCGTTGAGAAGCAACAAAGAGTACCTATGCTTGTCGTCGTCAAATGCGGAACCCCGGATGAAGAGGGTGGTAAAAAGGCTGGAAATCGTGGTAAACGTGATTCTCAAATCATTCTCATGTCCTTCCTTCAAAAGGTTATGTTCGACGAACGTATGACGGAACTGGAATTCGAGATGTTTAATGGCATTTGGAAGATTACCGGAATATCGCCCGACTATTACGAGATAGTACTTATGGTTGACGCTGATACTAAAGTTTTCCCCGATTCGCTCACTCACATGATCGCTGCTATGGTCCACGACCCTGATATCATGGGACTTTGTGGAGAGACAAAGATTGCGAACAAGACTGGAAGTTGGGTTTCTATGATTCAGGTCTTTGAGTACTTTATCTCCCATCATCTGACTAAAGCCTTCGAGTCTGTCTTTGGCGGTGTCACCTGTCTTCCCGGATGTTTCTGTATGTATCGTATAAAGACTCCGAAGGGTGGTCAGAACTACTGGGTCCCTATCCTCGCCAATCCCGACGTCGTCGAGCACTACTCCGAGAATGTTGTCGACACCTTGCACAAGAAGAACCTGCTGCTTCTTGGAGAGGACCGTTACTTGTCGACACTGATGTTGAAGACCTTCCCCAAGCGCAAGCAGGTTTTCATTCCTCAGGCAGTTTGTAAAACCATTGTACCGGATGAATTCAAGGTTCTTCTCTCGCAGAGACGCAGATGGATCAACTCGACTGTGCACAATCTCATGGAACTGGTTCTCGTCCGGGATCTTTGCGGAACATTCTGCTTCTCTATGCAGTTCGTCGTCTTCATCGAATTGATCGGAACGCTTGTCCTCCCCGCCGCTATCACCTTCACGTTCTACCTGATTATCATCTCGTTCGTCAAGAAGCCAGTACCCGTCATCCCGCTTGTCCTCCTCGCGCTCATTCTTGGTCTGCCCGCAGTCCTGATTGTCCTCACCGCCCACCGCTGGTCATATGTCCTTTGGATGCTTATTTACCTCATTTCACTGCCCGTGTGGAATTTGATCCTGCCGTCGTACGCCTTTTGGAAATTTGATGACTTTTCCTGGGGTGACACCCGGAAGGTTGCGGGCGAGACGACGAAGAAGGCTGGTATCGAGTATGAAGGAGAGTTTGACTCGAGTAAGATTGTTATGAAGCGATGGGCGGATTTCGAGAGAGGCTTGTCCCCCCCCCAAAAAAATGCCAAAAGACGTGATGCTGACAATAATATAGAACGCCGTCAACGACTCCCGCAATCCGGCTGGGCCCCTCAACCGGCTGGCTCTTGGAGCCACCATCAAGGATACGATGGAGAGTGCCAAGACATGTAGATTTTTTTCTGATTTTTTTTGATTCCTTTTCCACCCGCTTAACGACCGTTTCTCGTAAAACTTGCTGTTTCTCATACCCTCATTGCTCCTGACCCTATCAGCACTACTTAACTCACTGCGTTATTGTACGAGTACAGTGGAAGATAGATAGTTAGATTGATTAGGGACTTTTTTTCCCTTTGATTCCCTCTCCTCTTGTTTTTACATTTTACACCCGTCATACCCAGTGCTTTTTTTTTTTTACAACGTGCCTGGTTGGTCGATTGAATGGGAGCATATACCATCGCGATATTGGCTTTTTCTTTTTTCTTTTTTCTATTAAATTTTATAGTTTGTGGGCGGAGGGGGGGGAATGGAGGAAGGCTTTGACAAAACATGAAGTATTTAGGAGCATTTTAATGGGAGTGATACTATCTGTAGTGGTGCGGAAGAGGAAACAAGTATTCTGCTTGAATACGAGATAGTTGTAAAGTAATATCATCCTGCGCTAGCCCCCCCCCTCTCTGCTTCCCCTTCTCCTGTAGGATAACCAATATGATAACGATAAAGTTTGATCCAAGGTAAATTGTCACAGGCAGGCAAGGCGAGCAGGCAGGCACCTTAGAGACATCCGTCCATTCAGCCATCCATACTCCCTCACCTCTTTCCAAAATGTCAGATGGCGAAGGAAAAAAGAGAAAAATCGATCGCGAGGTATACAGTTTAGTATGATACGATACAGCACAGTACTATACATTACGGAATTTACCGTAGCCCCATCATGATACCATACCCTGTGTATACACAAAGTATTCTTCCTTTCTTCCTTCCTTCCTTCCTCGCCGCTCCCAATTTCGATTCGTTGAAATATAATTCGAATCGCCAGCTCGGCTCCTATCGTACTCGTAGGAGGGTTGGTTACTCGGGTTGGGTGAGGAGCCCGCTTACGGTACCGGTGAGCGATACTGTAGCTCATCGTGCACCATCATCACCCGGGGGAGCTTTTTAAGTCAAGTTATCGGAAACACTTGCACAATTAGACTAACTAAACCACTGGTACGAGTACTTGTATTTTCATCGCCTATTCGGGCTCTGGTATTATTAGAGATTTATGTCTCACCACCAATACCAAAATAGGCTATAAATTGTTGCTCAAAGTAGGGTATGGATGTCTTCCAACTCATATTGGCGTCCTAGTGATCTTAACAAGGTGCCTGTTTGTACTGGCAGACAACTCAATACTCATCCAAGCCTTATATAAATTCTGATAGATGAAACGAGAACTTTATCTTCCAAAGAAATAAGATAGAAATTAGAAACATATAAGTATTCATAGAGCAAGGGAAAACATGATTATAATATTATAATATCATTATATATAGAAAGGTTTCCATGAGGGTAGACACCCTACCTGATACCGGACTATCTTCCAACTCGCATTCAACCTTACACTGGTAACGGTATAACAGGTTTTCTCATCATGTCATAGTTGATTTTGTATCAAATGTGCTTTTAGAAACTATGAGCGGTGCGAAATAGGAAGATAAGGGGGGGGGGGGGCTATTCATAGTAAATCCTCCTTTTTTTTTTTTTTTGCCTACCCACCCGCCCCTGTATTAACAATAAAAACAAATGGAAAGCAAATTAAGGTTTTTTGCTTCCGTCTCACCTTGGCGAGTGGTAGCCTTATTCTCCAATCACTATTCCATTGTGTGAGCTCCACAAGAATTTTTGATTCCAGAGCTCCGCTCTCTGTCTTAATCTTTGATTTCATAACTACACTGTCTGACTTAATCCTAGCCTAAAGGGCCGCAATTGCCGACTTAACATCTCGTTGCATCCTTTTTTCAAGTCCCTTGTCAGTGTAGGCAAACTTCAGCACAACCTAGCAGATGCGTCAGTAAAACACAATTAGGTTATTTTTTACAAACAAAACATACAACCGTCACAAACATGCCCAGAAAGAACTTATTCCAAGTGTCTTAATGATGGAAGCCATCGTCAACATTCTTCCTGAGGGAGCAAAAGTCCTTTGGAAGAATTGTTAGCTCAGTTCGAGGTTAATACAGAGGTCATCAAGTTGTCCACCAATTCCACAACATTGCTGAATCAAGGGTAGGAACAGTAGTGACCGGAGTATCAGGAGTATCAGAAGTGTTGATGGGAGCATCAGGAACGACAGAAGAGACAATTGAAGCGTCAGGATCGTCGGCAGCAGTGGTAGTGGCCGAGTGGCCGCAGTGCCTGGGAGAGTACCCGGGACAGACGGGCATCTTGGATTCCGTCTAGGCCACTACTCGGGATGGACTACCGGGCCCTGCGGGTGATTCAAGATGGAGAATAGGCGAGACGCCTGCAGGTGACTGCCGGTGATAGTCGGCCCCTCCAGATGACTGCCAGAAGATCCCATTTGTACTAAGACGGCAGGGCCCGGGTGTCAACCCCTAGGACCGCCGTCTTTATGGAAGAAGGATGCCATGCCCTGCGGTCCTTACCCACCATGCCCGGGATGGTTGGGAACACTGGTGGCCGGCACACCAACAAGAGCAGTAGCAAGAGTTATACGGCCTGTTTCAAGGTCCTGTGCTGCTGCCTTGGCTTCCTTCTCTGCACGCCCATCCCGCCATCACCAATACCAAGGGTCCGCTAATGTGAACACCGTATCGATCGCAGTAGTCAGTCAGGAGTCGTTCTTAACCATCCAAGTTGCAGCTAAGGAATACAGTGAGACCAAGTTAGTAAACAGGATATTTTGGAATTCCTCAACCCCTAGAACTAACCACTTGCCATTCTCAGAGTCGGTGTGGACACTGAACCTAAGTGTCTAGCAAGTAATGGTCAGGCTCTGTAGGTAAAAGCCGGTCCCTGCAGGTAATGGCTGGGCCCTGCAGATAACCACTAGAAGATGCCATTTATTCTAAGACTGTGGGATCCGGGCGTCACCTTCAACCTTTTAGATGGACGTCTTGACGAAAGACAGACGCCATGCCCTGCCGCCCTCACCCACCCTACCTAGGACGCCTAGGACTATGGCCCGCCAGGGTCCTGTAGGGCACCCCTGACGGTTGTGAACACTGGGTGTGTAGAGAAAAATCGAAAACTTTGGTAAATTGTGGATGAATAAAGGGAAGAAATGTTTGGTAGTTCTCGAAATGTAGATAGGGGTATGGTGCAGTGTTCAAGGAGAACACAAGCAAACAAGCTAACCTCAAGCAATTTGTATCCACCCAAGTGAACCCAAGCATCCAGTCCGTCCGTCCCTGGGTGCGGACCGGATAGACGACAGTGCATGAATGAATGCCGGGGGCGGACAGGTATTTTGATGTCTGTCTAGACCACTGCCCAGGACGGACAGGCAGGCCCCGTAGTTTTCCCGGGGGTAAAATGTGCTAGGTTTCTGTGGATGACGGCGGATGATGACTGGGCCCTGCAAGCGATGGCCGGGCCCTGTAGGTTATGGCCGGGCCCTATAGGTAATAACTAGGCCCTGCAGATAACCTCCGGAAGATACCCAGATTTCAATTCCCCGTATTGTTTAACATCACATCTCACCGCTCGCCTGGATTTTGGCAGAATTTCTCAATGGGGATGAGTGCTAAACCCCGAATTTTTAAAATATATATATATATATATATAATGTCATAGTTCCCTAGGTACATATCACATGGCATTAGCTCCTTTCATTTGGTAAGGACTGCCTGGCGAAAATGCCAGGTAGAAGTTTATCAGGCAGCCAACCTATGTTCTCATATGACAGCAGATCAAGTCGTGTGGTAAGGTTAGTGAAGGGGTTTGGGTCCGGAACAGACAATCTTGTTGTTTTCCCACACAAACATTAGCCACAATAACCTCAATATTTCACCTTCTATACGTTGAGATTAATTACCACAAGATAGTTATCAAAGAAAAAAACATGCATATTGCTGGAGAGGAAGATCCCATTTTGGACAAAGTTGATCGATCTGTCATGCTCATGGTCCGGTGGAATAGTGATCAAATCATCATAGCCATAACATTCCAGTACTCTTTGTATACCAAGGGAAAGATATGGACGGCTTGTAAGCTCATCCATCTCCCTAGCATAGCGGGCCTGCAAGTTAAATTGTACCCCATGTCTTGGTAATGCAACGCTTTACAGAACAATATAGTGTAGGTTCTGAACTGCATTAAAGTAGTACGTAATAGTAGGACTGCCTTGGTAAGAGTGATGAAACCTGTCCAAAGTAAGTAGCTGTGAATGATGGAAGTATAGAAGGGACCTACCATTAGTGGCAATATATTAATCGCCCGGTTGATGCTATTCTTCATCTCTTTCAACAAACTTTCCATTATTGTTGTGTATTTCGAAGATGTTCCTGAATACACAAAAATCGTCAGCATGTAATGGACATTAGCATTGGTGATATGGGTGAGGCCCAGAGACCTCCAAGTATGATAGGGTATCACAGCTGTTGGAAGTTTGGACGAAAGTATTGTAAATTGTGGAGTAGTCCACTAGCACCATGTTTCGTTGATTGTTATAGCAGGTTAACAGTGTCATTTTAATGGAGAATGGAGAAGAAAGGAAGACAGGATCCGAAGAGCATAGAAAACACACCGCAACTTTCAACCCGGCCTCAGCACTTGTGTAAACACAAAACCCTAAACCCTTATTTGACTTACTCGTTCATGGTATGATATTATAAGACGTATCCGAAGACAGGGATTCTTAGGGCCTGTTTGAATGTCCATTGATAAAGATTTTTGACGGAGTTTCTTGGGAATCTCTCGGAATCTCAATATTTGGCGTTTGGATATCCACTCTTTTGAGATTGTAATCCCTGTCGCATCCATGTAATCTCTGAGATTCAAGTTTTACCCCCAAAAGTAAAAATTCCAGAGATTATACTAAAGCGAGTATAACATTATCCTTTCGCTGGTGTTTAAGCATAATCCTTCCCGCTTTAAGCCTTCCCTTATACATAAATTTTCCACTAGTGATACTCTTTAATTCGGCACTACTAAAATAAATTACAATCTCTTGATTTCTGTTCCTCAATCCCATGAATCCCCAATCTCATGGATTTCAATCACCAGATATCCAAACAGGCCCTTAAAATATATGGCAAAATATTCGAGCTCATTACAAATTTACAACTCCTATTTTCAGATACGGTTGTACTTCCTACCTGGAACAAGTACCTAAAAACTTGAATAATTGAATATAATGACATAGCAAAACATGAGCTGCTAAGCCCCTTGTGAGAGACAAAAGAACAAAAAAAAAACACCAAACCTTATAAGTACCACAGGAGGCAACTAGACTACAACAACGTACCAGGTGGTTGGATTATTTGAGAGTCTACGATATGTGCAAGTACAGTCGCACCTCACTATAATGGAACTCACCTATTTGTATGGGAAACCTCACTATTACGAATGAACCCCCTGGGAATTTACACCCCTGCTCCCATCTGCTCCCATTCGAATTGTCCTCACTATAAGCAATTCTTTCCAAAACCTCACTATAACAAATGGAAAATCTGGAACCCTTCACATTCATTATAACAATGTGCGACCACATATATAGTCAAGATACTAAGGTGGTTTCGTGGTGTAGTTTTCTTCAATAATTTTAGGGTCTTTTAATTGCGCACGGCCTCCCCGCCTGAGGAGTCTCCCCAAGAGGGGCAAACAAGTAGCGATTCTATGGCATACTAGTATGAGTACAACCACAGTATACTTTAGAGAGTGGACAAAATCTCGGCTTTGTGAGCGGTTGGTTGTTGTTTCCTTCATTCCTTCACTCACTCACTCACTAACTTCCACGTTTGCAGAATGTTGGGGTGGTTAGATGGTTGGTTACTCGAGTAGTAATGGGTATGACAGCGGTGATCAAAGTTAGAAAGGGGATCTTTTGGGGACGAGTTAAACGTTACCCTAATATTGTGTTGACCAGTTGCATCCCAATGCGGTATTTTTAGTAGCATACGGTATTCGAATGCACCAAATTAAATCAACTCAAGGCAATGTGCAAGAGGTTAAATCAGATTGTCAAGATATGATATCATGAAAACGCTGTCTTCATTAACAAAAAAGTCAAAGTTAAGGGATCCTTGCCAGTGAAAGTGAATAATGGTCCCCAAAGCGGCCCACCCGATCAGTTGCCAGACCATGATCAGTTCCCCGGTAAATTACCCTACCCCGCTTGCGAGATCCATTACGAGTACAGTACATCGGACAATTCATACCAATCACACACCGCATCTCCACCAAAACCCTGGACGATATCTCCCAAGATACGACGAGGAAAAGTGAAATTTAGAAAAAAATAAAAGTATATAAAACCCACAAAGAAAAGTCATCAATATAATGCCGAAAAAAACGACCGCTCACTGCACAAATGGGAAGGAAAAAAGGACTAAATGGCAAAGAGGTAAATTATTGTATCCAAGAAGTTTAGAGTTGTACATGTGAGACTTCTTCAGTAGAGAATGGAACCGTTTAGAAAACACCCAAGCAACCAAAATTGGGCTCAACACCAAAGGCACCTGCCGTCTTCCACAAGTCATTCTCGAAGCTGAAGTAAGTTATTTGACCAGGGCACTCCTTGACCATGGAGGCAATGGCAGCCTTCTGCTCCGCCGCACCGGGAACAGCGTTTCCATTGGGCTGACCTGCTGAGGGCCATCCAGCCTCCAGAACCCATCCTGGCTTTCCACCACAGGCATCTGCGGAAAGAAATTTGATCAGCAACTGCTCAGGATATAAAGAATGGGGGTTATCTTACCAGAGGCGAGCTTGAGTTGACCCTTCACAAACTCACCAGCCTTTTCGGCAGTGTTTTGAGGGTTGAAGAAGGCATGAGCGTTGACACCGACAACATCCATAGCACTACAAAGAACGCTACCGTGAGCTTGGAGGATGTTGAGTGTCTCAGCAGTGGTGACATGTCCGGTGTACCCGGCACCCTGAAGCTGACCCTTAACCTTGGAGATGTAGGCAGCCAATTCCTCAGCAGTGCAGAATCCATTGAAGACAGCCTCATTACCGACAACAAAGAGAACAACCAATTCAAACTTCTTCCATTCAAGGATATCCTTAACCTGCTCATCAGCAGTGGAGACACCGCCGGCCTTGATGAAGACACCGAGAATGATACCAACACCATTAGCCTCGCAAGCAGATCCAACGTTCTTGAGACCATCACAGTCAGTGGAGTATAGACGGATGTTCTGAAATCCCTTAGAAGCAATACTGGTAATGTCTGCAGAGACCTCAGAAGCGGTCTTACAACCACCATTGGCGGTGTATGGCGAGTAGGTAATAGCCCAAAGACCACCGCCAGATACCGGCTTGCTGGTAGCAGAGCTCGATGGAGCAGAAGATGAAGAGACGGGGGTGGCGGAGGCGGTGCTAGAAGGAGCCAACGGGGTGGTGGTTGGAGCAACAGATGAAGCAACGGAAGTGGCCGAGACAGTGCTAGCAGGAGGCAGAGGGGTGGTGGTATGGGCACCCGGGGCCGAAGTAGGGAGTCCCTTAGTGGTGTAAGGGCAAACAACAACGGCACTGGTGACAGTAACGGTGGTAACGACCTCAGGATGGGTGTAGGTTCCAGGAGGATATGCGGTTGGGACTGGGTACGTGCAAGGGACAGTGACGGTTCCGGTTACAGTGGTGGTTGAAGCACCAATAGTGTAGGTACCAGCCGTGGGGCAGACATAGGTGGTCAGGACAACCTTGCTGGTAGTAACACCACTAGCAGTCTCAACAGCAGCAACCGGGCAGACGACGGTAGTAGCAGTGTGGACAACAGTGGTAACACCTCCAATAGTGTGAGTTCCAGGAGGTAGCGAAGTAGTCTCAGGAACGCAGACAGTCTCGGTGCTTGTTAGGACAACCGTCTGGGCTGGAATGGTGTAGGTGCCAGGTGTCGGGCAGACAGTCACGATAGGGGTAGGGACAACCGGGGCAGAAGAAGCTGAAGGCACGCTCGCGGACTTGGGCTTAGTGACAGTAACCACATTGGTTGAGGTGGATGTGTATGTCACTGTGGTCTTGATAGTGGTGGTTGGCTCAACAACCGGGACCACGGTCATGGTCTGCTTAACGGTCGAAGCATCACTTGGTGGTACAGTTCCTGCGATATCAAATTAGTATCAACTCTTCGATTGCATAGAAATTGAACAAGTACTCACCAACAGGAACCAAAATTGAGCTGGTGTAGGTTTTGCACTGAGGAGGACTAACCTCACACTCACCACGGGGAGCCAAAGCATGTGGGTGGGCATGGCGGCGGTGCTGGTGCCCCCGAGCGGCGGCCGAACCAGAAAGCAAAGCAGTAGCCGCGACGGCGAACAACGAATACCTCATACTGAAGAACGAAGTGGAAAATGAAAAAAGATGATCTCTTTAATCGTCGATCAACAACACGCGAGTAATTCCAGGAGGGACAATCTCGAGAAAAATGGAGGAATGTTAATTGTTGGGTATATAGGATAGAGAGATTAGAGCAGAAAAGAATGCCCGCTGAAGGAGTGAAGCGGTGGTTTGAGGAATTAGAAGATGCGCAAAGCCCTGTTAACGTGAGAAAGTTGACCTCGAGCGTGTGGAGGAGAGAAGGAAAGGAAGGGGGATGAGGCAAAGGCAAGATAATAAGGAGAGTCGCCTGCCGCCCAGCGAGTCGGGCATGGCACAAAAAAGGGGGTTTCTCATTGTTGGTGCTCTGCTGTGGTCAACGTGAGGTACCGTACTGTACCTGAGAACAGAGAAGCGGCGACCCATGTCAAATGCCCATGTCCCTTTTCCACTCCTGGTACAAGCGCACCCAATAGAGCTAGTGCAGAATTAACTTAGCCTAACCCGCAAAATAATCCCTCGCTTGCAGCAGAGCCCAGTTGCAATTTGCATCATACTTGGTTAGACTTTGCTCCTTTACCCCCCCCCCCAAAGAGAGAGATCCAAGAGACTGGCTTAGAAAGCCATTTTGCTTCTATGATACAATAAGAAGTAATTCTGAGATTGATCTTTTTTTTTTTTCAATGCGATTTGAAAAAAAAAACACATAGAAAAATACCCAAGGAATACAAGTACTGTACAGTGTACGGTTCTCGAGTGCTAGCAATTTCACAGGGGCAGCTAGCGACATTTCTGTTGATTCTCACACCCACACGCAACCTCGAGACAGCCAAGATCCGGTATCATACGCTGCTCGCAGGGTCATCTAAGCAAGCACCACAATCCCGCCAGCAAAATGTGATTGAGAATGGAAAAAAAGGAAAGAAAAAAAATCCCAGCTGAAGGTCAAGTCCAATTGTACGAGCCAAACTCCACAGACTTGCCAAGGATTTGTAGCGGGGTTGAAAGATCGGTGATTTATCCAGACAAAAAGGGTCACAAATTCGGGGAATTCCTGGTGGACCTAACCAATCAAAACCGCAACCCATCTTGCAAAAGGAAAACAACACAAGGGGCGAGAGGGTAAGAAAAGAGATGAATTGTGATCAATTTGCAGAATTGGGGAAGACGAGAGAACTACAAGTAGGGTGTTGTTGGTCCCGCAGAGGAAACGAGCCACCAAAAAGCCCTCGAGCACCTCCCAAAGGAGGGAAACATGGTCTTATCCAGGGCAGATGAGGGTGCGTTTCTTTTCTCAGGCTAAGACCTTTGGAACGAAATCTGCAAGGTACCGGACAACCTTGGGTCCCCAGACCAATTGCCGCCTGAGGTACGCTGCAGCACCAGATCGTTTATGCAGGCATGGTTATGCAGGCATGGTATGAGCACTATAATACCAGCGCTCGAGTATGATACCGGTGCTTTACAAGTACGAGCACCTTACGGTACACAAGACTCTAGGACTTTTTTTGTTTGTAATAGCGAGTGTGTGGGCGATGTCCAGTTATGCGATATGAATCCTCGTCCGCACCTGCATTCCCATCTTCACAATGAGAAACAGGACAAGGAGAAACCTCTTCCCCCCTTCACCACCTCGAATATATGCACTTACCAACTCCAGTCCACTCCCGCCCAAACCCAACCTAACTTGCTCGCACACCATCATACGAGTAAATCGCATAGTCTAACTACGAGTATCCTTACCCGTGCCCCTCCCCCCACCAACTGGCACAAAAACCCCGCGCGACCCTCGCCTTCCTTCGGAACACCACTCCCTCTCTAAGTAGCAAGCGCATCAAAAATATCAAAAGATCAACACCCATAGCGGTAGGAATAACCCTCGAGGGAAGTACGATACTCGAGTACCCGCCCCCTGCCATAAGCACTAGCACCTAAGCACCCTCAAACAGGGGGGTATATTTTACACTCGAGTATGAGAATGGGCACTCAGATACGCGCAGGTATTGTACCATACCGGTACGAGTACTTGTATTCCTTTAATCCCTGTTTTCGGGTACGGGTACTCGAGTGCTTATAGGGTGCACCAATCGGTTTTTTTTCCTTCTATATTTTCGCAATTCTTTTCCATGTTTTTTTGCCCGCTATCTGCTGTGTAATCGCTAATTCGCCAGCCACGATGCATGCAGACCGACCCCGGGCCCCAAAAAAAGCACCTCGACAAGAAACGGGTCAACGATCAACCACCACAGCTCCCCGAATATCAATCATTATATCGATACAGAATCAATCGGAGAACAGCTCCAAAGTTTGGTTTCTCGAAGATATGGTGCCTTGGCTGGGAAGATGGAGAAAATAATTTACGCAGGAGGCAAGTTGGATACCTTAGTACGAGTACAGTATGATACACCATAGGAAGCTGTTTGGGCCAATCTGTACGAGCACCGATATCCATGAATTTGGGGGCTTTTGCCAGGGAAGGCCCCATCAGCCAGCATGTGTCGCACACCCATACTCGCATCCGCTGTTGCTCGAGCACTGCACGGTGCGCCATGCCAGCAAACCTGCAAGTAAGCAATGAACCCTCTCGAACTTTACGATACTGGTAATAGAGAAAGAAGGAAAAATTGTTAGGTCCGCGGTTTCTTTGTAGCTAACTATGATACAGGAAAATCCATGGCATGCACCCTAAGGTATGGCCTAAAAACCCAATAACATAAGAAACCCTCCACTCCTACCCTTCAGTAAACATTGCAATGTATGAGTAAGCAATTCCCGGACTCAGCCGGAAAAACTCACGCAGAAACCATAACACACAATTATGGACATCAAGTAAGGGCCATATCTTCCTCAGCGGTAATAGAGAAAATATATACATACACTTGTACCGGTGCTCGAGCACCGTACTCGAGTACCGGTATATTGCTATTCACACTTTCCAACCGTGACGGGCCGGAAGAAGGGAGGGGAGAAAATGACGGCAATATCCCCCGTTTCAAAGGCTTGCCGCATCGTTCCACAGCATGGCGCCAAGTTCGCAAATTGAGGTGCAAATTAGGGGATCTTGGCGCCAAGGCATCCGGATTCTTGCAGAAGTACGGTACTCGTACAGTACCGTACTTCTATGGATTGTCAAGCAACGTGGCGTCCCCGGCCATTTCCATTCGCAAGGGGAGGTATCCCGAGCAGGCTCAATCGATAATGAAAAAGGCGCCGTCCGAGGGCAAGACTGGCGGGTGAGGAAACAGCTTTCGAGTGGGAAGGGATGGCTTCTGGGATAGGGGGATTCCTTGGGTGAATCTCGAGGGGCATGATATACGGTAGAGGCCTTCAAAGTTTGTACGAGTACGGGAAGGAGGATAGTGAGGCTTGAATGGGGAAAAAAAGTTTTTGCTTAATAATTATCCAGAAACTCTCCATTAGGCACATAATATTACCGTATTAGTACTAGCGCACTTCATTCGCCGAAGACTCAGGGTAGGTTCTAAGGTGCCTGCAACTGAGGGTGAAGAAAAGAAAAAGAAAAAACATCAGCTTGGCAATGTGGAAATTTGTTATGACCGGGTTAAGGTAAGTGCCCTGTCTGGGGTTGCGGTGTGACGCGTTTCTCGTATTCACTTTTTTACCGGCCCTGTGGTAGAGATTGGGATTGGGAGATTTGGTGCGTGCTGGCTTTGATGAACAGATGGTGTTTTATTGCTTGCTTGTCGGCTGACGTTTGTGGGCGTTTGGGTCATGATGACGATGGGATATCGTTATGGCACTCTAGGGTGCGTAATGTCTGGGGAGATGACAATTTACTCACAGCGCGGACACACCCAAAACTGACCTCTTGTTCACTTGCCTTTGCTTAGTAATGCATACAAATTTAGCGGCTTGGTATCATACATACTAGTGCATACCAATACAGTACCTATTTTTCACTCGCCCAAGAGCATCCACCTTACTGTTCTCGAAAAACGCTCACTCAGTCAAGGAATGGAGCCTATATGATTAAAGAGGACTCAATTCAGAGCGGTTCTATAGAGAATTTTTCTCAAAATAGTTGGTTTTTGCTGTGGTAGGTTTGTTATTGGTTTCTAGTTGCGGGAGAGTCGATTTCTTACACCCGGGCACTTTCTGCAGGGAGCTGCGGACGCTGGGTATTAATCTGTGAGGTATTCGCGATTCGTTTGGGAGTTGTTTATTAGATGGATCAGTGGGCGCCTACATCCCTTCATTCGTATGCCGGATTTCACAGAATTTTGGCTCGAAAGGTACACGCACCTGTACTCGAGTAGAGGAATACTCTGCTTGGAGAGGTACGGCGAAGGTCTACTGATGGCGACCCGGGCAATAAAGGTTCCTGACCCCGAGGATCTGTGGAGCACTTACTTGAATGTTGAATGAGGGCTGCTATTATCCTCCTCGGTAGAGAAGGCAGTCTCGACCACGGTTCCGTCAATACCGGGACGTACGGGTAGAGTGCAAACGAAGGGATGTCGGTAGTCGAATACGGTACTCGAGTAGAGGCACCGTACCAAATATCTACCGGCACTGGTCATACACCAGCTAGCGGACGAGAACAAAACAAGGCGTACTTGTACCACTAGAGGAGTTTTGCCCCTACGGATTGATGTTGTGCTCTTTTTCTTTTGTCGAAAAGTTCTATGGCAAAATTTGTCAGCCTCTAAGCTCCTCACCTAGGAGAACGCGGTTGGATAGATGATATTTTTGGAGTTATCAATTCCTTTGACTCAGGCTTCCATTGGCTGTTGGGTGGATAACACCGTACTCGTACTAGTACTCGTCCCAGGCAAGAAGTATTTGAGAATCCAAGTCGTGACTCGAATTTTCGAATACGGTACTTCTTGTCTGGGACGATTATTGTTCATTTCATCCTCATCCTCCTAAGACTGTGCTCACGTTGCTTCCCTCCTCTCGCCTCCATGTTTGGAGCGGGGGGGAAGGAAAAACAAAGAGCGGATTCCCCTCGTTTACTTTAGAGGCCTCAAAACTGCAAATTCCCCAACCCACCACGTAAATTAACTGAGATTTCCTCCAATACGGTACTTGACTTTCGCAAGCGCTAAGCGAATGATCATGGATAAGTAGCCGTAGTTGAGATTGGAGATTGGAAATGGGGATTGGTGGTTGGCTGGCTTGGGTAAGCGTGTTTCCTCTGGTTGGATGCCGACTTCTCAGCAGCATCATATGATACACCAAGTTAGACTACCGCCCTGCGGAACCAAGCACTCCTGACCAACACAGATCTCCCATCGATCCTCCCTAAATCCCTATCTAAATGACTACTAACTCTAGAGTTGCGGTGGGGCCAACCGCCCCCCCCTTTTTTTCCGGAGAATTCAGC